TAAATAAAAGTCCCAACTGAAGAAATCAGGAGAACGAATAAAAAGCGCAATTTCATTTCCAAACAAGTCTTAATTTCCCCGCATAATTTCAATTCCCTCTGTTAAAGGCACTTAATTATATTTCAAAATTTTCATTTTTTAAGTTCCAAAGCATTAGAAGCCTTTAAAAACAAAAACCAATAGAAAAAAAGAATTGAAAAAAAAATAAAAATTTGATATAGGACATCAATGATTTATACATGCCCAGAACTAATAAGCCAGGCCAAGGGACTGCGCGATGCCACTTCGGCCATAAACCTGATGCACGGGATATATCAAGGACACAATGGAAAATACCGAACAACGAGATTTGGCTAGGCTCTGAGGCCTCAAAACATAAAATCATGTGTGGCCATTTTGATTGCTGGGATTCGTTAGCGATTTCAGATCACCACCAGCACTGGCTTCCGGAGATTGCGTTGGGATACTGTAGATGGTGTGCAAATCACGGGCCGAATCGCCGGTATCACCCATTGCCAAACCAGATGCGAATCCATCGCGTAATTCCGTTAGACGTTTATCCACCTAAAAAAAAAATGACAGAAAACAGTTAGGATCAATTTTCTTTTCAAAAGTAGCACTGCACTTCCGGTGTGAGGTCCATAATGCCAACCAAACACAACCAGGCTAGGCCTTCATCTGGGATCATTTGTTCCGAACCTTTTCCAGCTTTTTCTACAAGGTGCCCGATAATAACTTATGTGCATCACACTTAACAAACATCAGACGAGACCCTTGCTTAAGCATCATAACGTCTCGTCGATTAAGTATCTCATCGTAGTCGAAAGGTGACAATCTTCCGGATGAGGGGAGTGATGCTCATCACATGCCGGAAATATTTCGGAACGAGTAAAATCTTGCCCAAATGCTTTTTTGGGGAGAATCGCTGAGCTGTTGATAATTTCTTTGGAGGCAAAACAAACTAATAGCAGGAATGTCCATAAACTGACCGTCACGTGATGCAGCACCGGTCAATGTAGCTGGAACAGTTGCTAGATGCACAGTAAGTGAGCTAAGCCATGAGCTAAATTTCAACTAAGTATGTGTATAGAAAGCGAGAAAAATTTTTTAATTCATACCATCGATAACATTTCGTCAAATTGTTCCGGTGTCGGTTCATGCTCCGAACTTCCTGACGGTGCATCAATTTTTGGCTTCGCTTCCAGACTCTGCCTCGATGAAAAAAAAAAATCATCCAGTAAAACAAACAAATGCGAAATGTTAAAATTAAAAAAAAAAAATTCAAGGCCTCCCCCCGATTTTACTCTTTGAGAGGCAAAAACTCTCCGAAGCGCCACAGTACTTACTGGAAATCAATTACCGACAAAACTGTCAATAACTTATTCTTGCAAGAATCGCTCAAAAACAAGCTGATAGCTAATTTGGCTGATTGGCAAACGCAGTTATTAATTACATTGTCTGGAACTCTCCACTAAAGGAAATTCTGGAGCCAGTACATTGAAAAGCAAAACTCACAAGAACATCGTTCATGAAATCATCACCAAATGGGTCGAGACCAAATTTATCCTTGTTTTTTGCTTCGGCCGCTTTTTTTCGCTCATCTGCCCGTGGATCAAATTCATCATCGAAA